TGCATGTCTCCGCGGGCCCATGGTTCATGTGCCGGTGATCGTTATATCTCCATCTGACCGGAGACTGGAAGAGCCAGCCAGGGGGTTGGTGGTCCGGTAATACATTCAAAGTTGAATGTAGGGACTGTAGGGACAGAGAAAAGGGGGATGGAGGATCGTCCAGCCCTGTACGTGGGAGTAGGAGAGGGCAAAACGGGGTGGCGAAGTAGGTGGACGCAGAAGAGGCGAAGCAAGAGGGAGCCAGCTAGCGCGGCGAGGACGACGGAGGGGGAGGTTTCTCGTGTTTCATTTCCTGAGCTCCTATATAACTTTGTGCTCAACTCGACACCAGATTAATAACGGCCCCACCTATCCTATTCTATCCCAAGCCGAACAAGTTCGTGCTGTGTGTAGACTCTGTGTGCCGTGCGCTCGCGATGTCTACCTCATATCGTTTCTCTCTTCTCCCTCTTTCTTCTGCTTTCTCAACCCCTAAGCGTATTAGTTCCATCTCCCTCTGTTTTTCTGTATCTCTGTTTCTCTAGCCGGCGCACACCTTTTCGCGCGACGGATGCACGACATGCTTGAAAATTCTGTCCATGTTACAGATGCTGCACGAGAACGACGGCACGCCCTGACAAACCGATGCGCTGAAAACTTGGCAGCGGCTGACCGATGCAACTCGTACGCCGAACCGGGGTAATCGTATTTCATATCGCCATGGCCAACCTGTTATTTGTTCGTCGGCCTCCACCGACCGCTACGCACCGCGGGAGAATATGCAGCGTATTCCATCTATATTTTCTCTTCTTTTCTTTCTTCTCTCGTCTATTGAAAGGTGGCGAGCAAACAAGGATGAAGGAACAGCGTACAGAGTTGCGAGACGTACGTTACGTCAGTTGCGATTCCTCAGGTTCGACTTTCGGCAAGTAACAACGAGAGCGAGGAGATAGAGCCAGAAGATGGAAAAGGAATTGAGAACATTAGCTACAATCCGTAGAAATTCAAAATAATTAATATTCACTAAGTGTATCGTTATTGCAACAATTTTTCCGTTATCTTAGTTTAGGACTGTTGAGGTTATTCGATATATAAAGAGAGGAACGTGTGGATAAATTGTAAAGTAGAAAATATATTGTAATACGGAAGTGTAAGTACAAGTAGGAATATAGTTTGAGCTGGTCCCGATCCGCACGCTAGTGTCACACGCTCAAGATGGCCACCCGCTCAGGAACAGTAATCAGATAGACGAAACATGCTGCATGTCATAGCTATGGGAATAATAACCAAACAGTAACGGAATAGCCGCCTCTGATATACATCCGACGATAACCCCTCCAAAGGGACTAAAACCTCGATATAAAAACCCTGCTAAATCAGAGCTCGAGACCTCATTCTGTTCTAACATTTTGAACTGTCACTCTGTTGGATTTATATAATAAAAATTCCATCATTTTATACGAAGTTCAATCTCTTCACCTTATTCGCGAAACGTTCGAACTGCGACGCGAGATCACCGGCGATCTATCGGTTTCGTGATTTCTTGTGTCTCCGACGTGACACTAGCAGCGTCATAACTGAAAACTCCGAAGCTATCGTCGTCTGTCTACTGTCTATGGTCTGCCTGTTATTAAATATAGCTTAGGGGTTGATATTTAATGGATTCACACAGATTGAATTTTACTTTCTATATTTCACCACCTCGTACAAAACGTCTGAACACACCGGATACACTTAGATAATTAACACGTGGTCGACTACTAAGACAAAAGAGCGTCGTTAGGAGTCGTACCAACTTAGCTTGTAGAACTAGCGACCATACCAACTTAACGTTTCTCAATACTGCCTTCGCCCCAGTCTATTGTTTATACGCTGTCAATGGCTTCAGTGCTCGAGAAAAGTAAAAGGACCAGATGTACAGTTTTCTTAGAATCGGTGACCACTTCAACAAGGACCGATTATGTGAAAAATTATACCATATCCGAGATTTTCTGCGGAGTGTAATCACAGGATAAGCTTCTCATGCGATCACGTGCGCTGTTCCATCTAGCTAACCTAAACTTAGCCCAAACTTATAATCGGACTCGATTATTTTACGCCGGACGATTGTTATTATTTTGATCGTTGTTATCATAAATTGCAACTGATAATCGGAATTTTGAGTGGCGATTCTCAATTGAACACACGTTTCACAGATTTTCTAACGCGTTCCACCCTCTAAATCTTGGACTGTGCGTCACAGTGCGCAACAAATCCGCGGCAGGTATTCTTTTTCCTCATGGTGGCAGATCACCGCCACTGATTCGGCTTCATGAGCATGATGGTCGCCTCGCGTGCCAAGATAAATGTACCGCAGACACGTTATTACCTATCGGTACGTGGCGCCGGCCCACTGAAACACGTCATATCGTAGGCAGATGTATGGAAGCGGTGTTCAAAGAATACTCATCTACCTGGAGTATGTATGCGAACCAGGATCGGGCGCGCTCGCGCGGACACGCGACGTGGCTAGGATATTCTGGTAATGCGTATTTGATTACGACCACCGGACACTCTCCGTTCCTGTTTACGTCGTGTTTGCCCGACTGCTTTAATAGAATTGGGCTTGATCGTGCCTGATGCTCGTCCTGTCAACTTTGCCCCGTCAACAGATAGTGTACTTGTTTATATATTGCCGCTGATACTTGATATTTTACGGAGTAGATCAATCTAGGATTTGTATAAATCGTTTAGATACTTTGTTCAACACTGAAACTACCACAGCAGTCAGATTGGTTGGTTTTATAATTTTATTTTAAAATTCCTACTTCGTGTTATATTTTTTTTCCGCGATGATAACTAAAAGAATAATATAATGAATTTTATTTTGTTTTTTAGGAATTCCAATTAAAAAACAGCGATGTCGATTAACTTTTTACAGAATGACGATGCCATTAACAGATGCAAGATAATTCTTTAATAGCGATGATTCATTAAAGGAGTGAGAAAAATCATGAAAGTTCAGAATAATTACACAAAGTGCTCATATACTGGAAACTACTTTAGATTAAAAAAATCGAGGCGCTTTCAGAGAAATGTATTTTTCAGAGAAATTAAACTACATCAATAGCTTTTTGCAAAAGTCACACATGATTACAGATTTCATACTTTCGTTGAATTTTTTGCCCCTTGAAAGCGAATTATGCATGCAAAAAAATATTACTTGGATTTGTTTAAAAAGCTGCTTATAAAAAATATATAATATGTAACAGCATTTGTAAATAAATAATTCCTCGTAAAATTTAAGCGTAGCATTTGAATGTGCATCCAGGCCCCGCAAAAGGTCACGCCGGCCCTGATTTATATATTTCATGGTGAATATCTGTATATAAATTTGTAGTATAGTGGACGAAAAGCTTTAGAGATACCGGGCGGACCATAAACAATGTCACGAGAAAGCCTAAGTGCCGACAGGACCAACAATGTATCTTTGATCCTTCGATCGAATAATTACGCGAAAATGGCCTGCGTGACCTTGGCCATGAGCGGTTGCGGAACACGTGTGTGGTGGGGCTAAGACAAAAGACAAAAGACAAAGAGATGCTAAGTGAAACAGACGAATTAACAGTCAGTGTTAGTTGAGAAGTCAGGGAGTGCGAATTGCGCTGTCGAGAGAGCGTGGTCCGCGTGAGAGAGAGCGTTGGAACCGTAGTGACGAGAGTTGCAAATCAACTATTTAGTTGTCTTAATTATAGTACGTCATTGTATTTAGTTCATATTGAATAACCATCGTTTCCTGTTTAACCAACATCTGTTTAATCCATTATAAATAAACTAATTGTAGTAAAGATCCTACAAATTATACAAATGTTTATATTACATTATTATATTCATAAGTATAAACTAATTGTAGTAAAGATCCTACAAATTTACAAATGTTTATATTACATTATTATATTCATAAGTATAAACTAATTGTAGTAAAGGTTCTACAAATTATACAAATGTTTATATTACATTATTATATTCATAAGTACAAACTAAAATTGTCGTAAATGTCCTACAAATTACACAAATGTTTATATTACATTATTATATTCATAAGTATAAACTAATTGTAGTAAATGTCCTACAAATTATACAAATATTTATATTACATTATTATGTTCATAAGTTACACAAGTCAGTATGTATCTTTGATAATATACATACACATTATTATTTACATATATACTAATTTACATATATATTATCATAAATATTATTTGACATAAATATATTTGATGGCAGCATATATGTACATATCTTCAAAGTGGAAGATGTTAATTAATCATTCAAAAATGTACGGCTATATGATTAATACTTGCCACTTTATATGACAACAAAGGGACCAGCTAATATATCACCAAGATCGCTGAAAAATTCATGTTATTTGAACCATAAACTACATGAAACATTAAATGTACCGACTTGTACGTAACTTATGAATATAATAATGTACGATCTTTACTACAATTAGTTTATTTACAATAAACAGATTAAACAGACGTTGATTAAACAGAAAACGATGGTTGTTTAACGTGAACTAATCACAATAACGTATTATAATTAAGACAACTCTCAACTCACAATGACTGTTAATTCGTTTTTGTTCCTTAGCAACTCCTTGTCTTTTGTCTTAGCCTCGTGTCTTTTGTCTTACCCCCACCACGTACGTATTCAAACAAGCAGCCGCTTGTTTATAATTCGCCCAACACCCCCAGGCCCCTCGTCCACGATACTATGATAACGTAATATAAAATTTGTATGATTTTAATACAATAATTTTAAGTATAAAACTTTGTTCGCATCGATAAGATCAAGCGATGTCGTGACAAAGTAGCCTAGCGAAATGACGACTTAATACAATTAATATTGTTGAGAAAAGTTAAGTTGGCATGATCGCTAGTTCTACAAGCTAAGTTGGTATGACTCCTAACGACGCTCTTTTGTCTTAGTAGTCGACCACGTGTTAATTATCTAAGTGAACCCGGTGTGTTTAGACGTTTTGTACGAAGTGGTGAAATATAGAAAGTAAAATTCAATCTGTGTGAATCTATTAAATATCAACCCCAACCTATATTTAATAACAAATATTATAAAATCCAGCAGAAAATCGAATGGAGAAATCGCAATAGCCATCGTCTATCAAAGAACCATCGAATCGACGTGCGCGAGGCATCATAGACGTCGCTGGGATCGAACGTGCCAGGACACAAGGGCGATAATGATGATGACGTCGGCGGTCATTACCTCGGAAGCGTACCGCCCATTTTGTTTCTTTCGCCACCGCGTTTTAAAAGAAGATAGCAACGAACGACGAACGAGTCTTGGGCTGGATCGGCCAAAGGGTACGTTATTCCCCCGTTCGAGATTGATCGCTCGAAATGAAATATTTAATTCACAGGCCTGCTCCTATAGGCGCTGCTCGCCGCTGCCCAATGACAAACGCGTTACAAAATATTTTTAGATTACCAGGCCAGCCGATTTATGGCCATATTAACCGACGGTATTCCTCGCCGTCGTCGGCCTGCCGATATTAACACGTACGAAAGTGAATTACCGCGCATCAACATGCATTCTTAAACATATTCCCTTCGACGTGTAAAGTATGGCAGTCCATTAGTGGCTAAATCGTACGCTCGAATCCAAGCCAGTATCCCTTCTCTCGTGACATTACGTTTTATTCGTAGCCCGGTGTCCATTTGTGTACCCGATATCTTCGATTCTTCGTGAAAAGCAGCATGTTTTGTGCTCACAGTGAATCGATCGAATCGACGACCGGTGTATTTAAGGACCGAGTATTCGCGAAATCAGCTACACGTGAGACTGGCTCACAGATCCAACACAGTAGCTGCCCGAAGACGGATGGCCGCCATTATTCCGGATATACTAACAGATGCCTGCGCTTATTAATTTAATTGGTCGCCGTTACAAGCAATGCGTAGCTAATTAAACTCGAATGAAAATAAATACACGACGACGTCGGAGAATCGCGAATTTAGGCGATCGTTGGCTTCGAAGTATGGGCCCGACAATGTTCTGTCGTGGATTTTATATTGGTTTTCAGAAGAATCGAAATATTCTACGTTGTAGAATTGCAGTTAAAAAACGAACGACTTCTTTCTTGATGAACTTTCTCGGTAGCCATTGGCGCTGTTAAAATCGCTGTGGTACAAAATTTCCAGGACCCTCTGATCCCCTGCTTCGTAGCCCGAGCGATATTAATTGGCCGATCATCGACAGCCCTGCCACCCCAAAGCCGAACGATTCGTCGAAAAAGCGAACGCAGCCAACGGCAGCGGTTCTCGGTTGCGCAAAACAGCTCATCAAACATCCATAACGACAGCTACAGGAAAACGGGGCAACCCTTTGCGCTCTCACCCTCTTGCCTGCTGCTTCTCTCTCGCGGCTTACCCCTACTCCGTGTGTACATACTCGACACGACGTTTTAGTTCTCGACAGTCGAACTCGGCCAAACCTCCGACAAGGGCTCCGCTAATGAATTTGGAAAGTGTAATCAGTAGCGTAGCTACTGGCAGGGG